GTCAGCGAACTATTTAAATACAGCTTAATGAATGTGTTGAGTGACTTTGGTAATTTCCTTTTAGAACATACTTGGCACGAATTCAATTCTGACTTTATTTAATCATTTATTCTGAGGATAGGTTATGTAGCAGGAATAATTGAATATCTGCTAGCAAATTGCTTGCATGTTTGAGATAATTATTAAAGGCATGAAATGGATTATGTAGGTTATGTTTTTTCAGTTTTAAGCAGTTTTTGATTGTAATTGCATGAGACACAAACAACATATGTACATCATACAATATTTTGTTAAAACAAAAATGCATAATTATGCATATTGTGATCTTACAAAGAAACTTTTAAATTTTTTATGTTTATGCTAAAAACATAATCATGATTTATGAATGTAATAATGCAATGCTTAATAATTTATTTACGCTACAGCAAAAGATTTGTTTATTTTATCTTTAACCACAAAAGAGCTGTGTAAATGTTCATGATGAAACATTTGAAAGGTTTCTTGAGATTGTCAAAGATTTGTATGCTGTTTATTTTATTTTGTTGACTTTTTGATGATGAATATCAAAAAAATTGCATAGAATAATTCAGTTTCTTAAAGTAATTTATTACAAGTAAATTAACACTAATTTAAAAGTCATATTTAATATTCAAACAACATCCAATTAGTATCGATTAACTACAAATCAATTAATTATGCGTAGCTACGATATATCATTCACTTACCATGTCTATATAATGAGATGTTAATTTTCTGTGCGAAAACATTCAATTTATTTCAATTACCTCCTCTGTAAAAAATTGTATGCGAATCGAGTTAAGAGAAATGCGTGAATATTTACATACTTAAAAGGGTGACTAGAAAATATTGACCATTGACATGGTAAAGTGGATGCTTTTTGGTATAAAGATAGTAATGGCCAAAATACTGTGGAGAATAAACAGTGAATTTTCAATTACAACTTTGAAACAGTGAACTAAGAAGCAATGAAGACAGAAACAAACAACTCTAGACTAATGACACTAAATCATTGCCAATTAAAATCCAAAATGAGTAAAATATTTTAAACGGTATTATGGTCGAATTAATTTCATGTCAAACGAAATTATATATCTTGTGTAATTTATATTTATTAATGCATAATTCTCATATCTCTGCTTCTCCTTATGATTGAATAATCATAAATCCTTTAACGGCAGAAAGTGATATCGTTTATTCGAAGATAGCATTAGCATTTTTTTGGCGCATTACTTTAATTTTAACTTGTGTTAATTGCTGATTTTTGAAGGTTTGTGAATAAAATTGTAGATAGTAAGATTGAATTAATATGTCAGGCAACATTTGTCAAAGTCTCCAAATCAGTTAATATTGAATCACAAGAAAAATATCTTTCCATTTTACAAGGTTCACTTATTTTACAGCTACACAAAAACATCATAAAAAAAATTAGAATATTTTTCAAATGTTTAAACTTTAAAGCATATCCTTCAATTCCATTCCATCACTTAATATCTTCGGATAACTTATCAAATACAATCACGTTTTTGGCTGAGGTTTATATTTTCTTATTCTATTATACAGCACAAAAAAGAACTTTTCTTTTCTATAGACAAGATGATTTATCGCATGTGATTCTCTTCATCTAGTCAGAAGTATTTAAGAATAACAACAATTGTTTGGTAAGTTGCTAAGCAAAAAAAAAGAATGTATGGACAGCAAGAAGTAGAGTAGAAATGAGTAAGAAGAGAGAATAATATCATTACACTTAGCTGTGCTCGTTGAATCACATGAAAACTTGTTTCTTACAAACCAAATTGTTCTGCTTCTTGGACTGTTTTATTTAGAGGTTTCTTGTCGAGAGGTGTATGTTGATGACAAGAATTGGACGATTTATAGCCTTTGAAAAGATTGTAATGCTTTATATGACAATTCTGCGATATGTTAAAATTTGTACGCAAGAACTATGTATAAACTTATTCAGACGATGATCAGAAATGATATCAAACTATTAGGCAGTTCTGTGAAATTTCAAACCATCAAAAGTCAATTTTTTAATGAACATCACTTTTGCATGCCGCTTGAAACTAACAATGTTAACATGATTTATGATATTATTCTCTAACCTCTACGGCAAACCTTTCATTTTCATATTCTCTTTGAATTCATCATTGGTTATAAATAAAAAAACTCTTATTTTGCTATTCGAGCGTCCATAAATTACATCACTTTACTTCCACAAAAGAATGAAAACGTTCCTAATTGATTCATCCAAAATCATTAGGAATACATACAAATTCTATTACACATCATTTATGCTGTATTCATAGAGAAATTCTGATGTAAGTTACTAAGTTTCTGATGCTGCGAGTGACTTCTTAATGTATCTTAACGTGTATTTGTTTGTTTGTTTATTTATGTAGCTATGCACGGTTTTTTTGCAGTTTTATGCTTGAGTGGCGCTTTGACTGTGTTAAAATTCTACGGTTGACTATATGTTGAATAACATGTTAATTGTGCAATTATAATTCTAATTAATGGCTAAGTTCAAATTATATAAGGTTCAAAAAGTCGCAAACTTAAAAAATTCTTATTGTAATTAGACAGAGTTAACAACCTTATATATCTTGAACCAGCTTGAACCTTTCATGAATCACAAAAGCGCCTAAATCAACTTCCAATGATCTTCCAAACAATTTATTTTTTGCTCAAGTCCAATGTTATAAGACGTAGATCAAAAACTACACACGTATAAGTTCTGTATATTTCATTTTTCATTAAACTCTATTTTCTTCTACATTTTCTGTTCTTTCAACTCTACTCATACTCATTGCCCGGTTGTCGTTGATTTGAAATAGTTGATTTCGAAAGTGCGTCAAGAACAGAATGTTTGTAAGTGCTAGAAAAGTGCAATAAACATGTGAAAAATATAAAATAAGACTAACATCCAGTCGACTATTGTAAAAACCTGATTTTGCATGTAAATGTATGCAGAATGGGAAAACAATGAAAGTGAATTTCATTTCTCACATGACAAGTGCCATAGAAGAAAAAAACAAAGAATCTTTTGAGACACAAGAAAAACCGTATAAAAATGTTTTTGTGTAATAAATTTCTGAGCATTAATATTAGCTTTTATGTGTTATAGAGTGTCTAGTGAGTAAATGCTCACGTGGTGTTATTCAACTTTTGTGTAGACAAGGAAAAGTTGTGGATGAAATGTTCATGGATAGATAAATAGTGCGCTTTTTTGTTACATTTTTCGATGAGAAAATTCTTGCTTTAAATACATTTATTTTTTTTTAAAAAATACTCTTCCTATACTAATAAGTTTGAACTTAAAGCAACTCAAGCAATAGAATCCATTTTAAGTGGTTTATCACAACAGCAATTCACCTGTTTAAAATGCATCTAAGATATGTAAACAATTTTCAGTGAATTAAAATTACTGGCAAATAAATTATTTTAACACATTGCACAAAACTTTTGAGTATCTTATTTCTGAATAACAATTTTTTAACTCTAAATATGGTCAACATTGATCAGACAATAAAAATTTATATATTAAAACATAAAATTAACTTGAGACAATTCCTGACAAGTCAAATCAATGCGTGCCGTATTCGTATTCTGAGAACAAGATTGTTCGTGAAACTTTTGTGACAGTTGAAAAATGGAATGTATAAATGTTATGGAAATTTGAGATTTCGTAGTTGATTGATATTGATATTGAGATATTATTATCTGATTCGTGGAGTTGACGAATTTTAACACCAAATCATTCCACAAAAAGTAAATCATTAAGAATTAACATAGCACATGTGTTATGAGCCATAACAAATTGAAAGCATGTTTTTACATTAAACTTTATTGTTTTCTTTTTATTTGAATGGTAATCGAGATTAAAATTAATTTCATCTTAAGTTCATCAATTTAATTTACTAAAGCAGATCAAGTGAATTGTGTGAACTTCAGGTAGTTCATTAATTTGTAATGATCACGAGTTCATTATTTGCAACAATGTTTTGTATATAAATATCAATGTATATGTAATGGAATCGAAATAAACAGGCAGTTAGATACGAATACTAAGAATACCAAAAACAAAATATTTCTCGCTTCTTACAAAAAATCATACACAAATGGAACGAATAAGAAGTGTCAGAAATGAATGTACTTCTTTTTATTTAAATAATTTAAATGGAATTCTTTAATTCCTACTTTTAGATAATGTGCTTGGATATTCAATTTAGGCATCTGTCTGAATATCGTCTATTTCAATTTTTGGTACTCAAGAAAACGCTCCATTTTAAATAAAATTATTTTTTTTCCGTGCAATGACTTAATTCATAATTTCAAATCATATTTAACATGAAGTGAACGCAAAGATATATGCGAAATCGACATCAGAAAAAATATAAATTCGAATGTAGCTACATGTAGGGGATAATTTATAAATGATGACCTTGATTAAATTAGATAGAAATTGCTTTTAGAGGTTCCTGATTTCCTGATTTATTGTGGTTTATTGTGACCCTAACTTCACATCCTTGTTCCATTTTTCATCACTTTGAACCTGTTGCTGCTAGACGGCAACAATGAACGATCCTTAAATAAAAAAAGGCAAAAAATGAATAAAATAAATTAAAATTTAATGGTTAATGATATTGATTGAATAAGAATTACGAGAACTTAATAGCTCGAATGCCAGTTGTTGAGCAATGGCAAGTGAATAGTCGCATTTTACAGGTGTCATGTTGTTCATTGGCATTCAAGAGCTTGAGTTGCAGTTCGAATTGAGTTAGAATTAACATTTCCATTCATCCATGAGCAGTGGTTTTCAGAATAATGTTTATCAAGGAGTGACTTTAAAGTTAATAGTGAATATTTTAAATAGACATGTTAATTAAAGAAATGAGAACCGTCCAATCATGCAAAAAAAAATATTTTCCAATCAGCAAACTCATTAATTAAGTGTATAAGTCATGAGAATTATTTTTAAGGATATCAACAGATCATAATGTCAATCTCATCAGAAAGCTCGAGGCAGACAGCCACGTTGCCTAGACAAGATACAACAGTGACTGTAAGCAGTCTCAGTACATCATATACTTACTTAGAGACTGGCGATTCATACTCGTCGACTTTGAAGTCCAATAAAAATTGCAATAACAATAAACGTAAAAATAAAAATGACAAAAAAAAGTATCGATCACATTCCAATGAGAATTTTCAGAATTTGACATCATGTGATCCTAAAACATTAGAGACATTAAGAACTCATTATTATCCGGAAGAGCAGTGTTGGAGTTACGTTATTGTTATAATTGCATCTTTTGTTCAAATTTTCGATCATGGATTACACATTTCTTATGGACCACTACTAGTCATAATATTAAATGTCTTTGGAACTTCAAACGATGTTAACTTACCGCTTTCAGGTGAATAATAATTTTCTCATAATAAATTTAAAATGAAAAGATAATTAGTTTAGATATGCTACTGTATAATTTGATTTATTGTGGGACTTTTAAAAAAGCTGATCTTATGATTTGCCCACCAGGCATATTTGTCAAGCAAGTGCTGTCTGAAAGTTGACAATTTTAGATTGAAATTTTGATTAGTTAACATATGAAACTGATTAAGACTTAATGTCTGTCAGAAATCAGCAAAAAAATTTTGTAAATTTAAATCGACACTTAAATGACTATTAAGCCAAAAATAATTGACGAGGCAGCTCAAGAGAAAATATTATGAAGATTTATTCATTATTCAGTAACTGCCTTCAATAATTTTAAATAAATATCATGTTTACTCCTTCTGTGGCACATAATTATCAGTTTAGTCACGAATTCCAGGTCGATGGCTAATTTAATTTTTTCTCTCTTTTACCTGCTTCCATTTTTGCAATCTCTTCAGAATTCAAGACTGTAAATATTTTTTGCTTTTTATTGTTAAGTTTTAAGTACCACTAAGGGATGGAAACTTTATCGAGTCACTTGAGATATACTGTAAACAAATTTCTCGAGGAATTCTATTGTTTCGACCTTGATGGTTATTTAGAGCTTTTTTAAAATAACTATAAAGCAAACCCCCTTTCACTTCTGTCAATTTGTATGTCATTCGATTTTACGTAATTCAGCATTTTTTTTTGCATTTTTATGATCGATACGATGCAATTAGGTACAAATATCAGAGCAGAACGTCTTTTTAAAATGATGTTCATTTTTAATCTTTTGCCATTTTTATATCCTCTAAATAGATTTTTTTTTCGTAACGTAATAAGTGAACGAGCCCAAAAATTTCACCAGAAAATATTTAATACCTTTAATACCTTACCATGATATGCAGCCATGATAAGGTGGAATAGTTTTTTATGAGTCACAAATATTTTTCAGTAAGTTTTTAAATTCTGCAAATTTATTTTATTTATGGAAAAGTTACTTTTTTTATTGAATCGAAAAAAGGAAATTAAATTTTAATTAAATTGGAATGGAATGGATTGAAAAGTTAATAGCTCCTCACTCAATCACGATGGAGAACATGAGGTGAAATGAAATAATTTATTAATTTATTTTACGAAAAAGGGAGAAACTTATCCATTTTGAAGATAAAATTGTGCTCAGTGTTTTGATGTTTTTGTAAATTGCTTTGTCATAATATTTTTAATGATATGACATACAAATTGTGCAGTCAGACCGAAAAAGAGGAAAAATGGAATCACATTAATAATACCGCACATTCAATTTGTCAGTCATTTACATTATTTTCTTTTAATAATTTTCATGTTTCACACTTTTTCGTTGCATCGTGAAATGATCTCGTAAATTATCTTTTCTTCTTCCTTCCTTTTAGTCTCACTCTATAAATCAAAGTTGTGCATAAAGTATTAAATTTTCATTTGCATTTTGTTGAAAATTTATGAGTTTTATGCTATTTTTAGAATTCTTATTTAAAAAGTTCATGGTTGAGGTTAAAAATTGATTTATTGTTATAAGCTAATCAAGTTGCTTCTTGCTTTTGGATTTTCCATATATCTATGACCTGACTTTCGAATAGCCTTATAATTTGTGGACATCGTGATCGGAATTTCCTTAAAATCACTTTTGACATAAATTACTTACAGCACATTTAAGTGCAAATTAATCATTTTTAATGTCAGTCTTGAGAACTCTTTGTTGAAATCTTTTCTTTAATTTCTATATATTCCACAATATTATTTATGCATTTGATTTTTGTTTTAATGACTGTAAATTTACTGCAAGATTTTACGCGACAGTGTGAACATTTATATCTGAATTCTTTGAAGATTTCTTCCTTGGCTTAAAATTTTGAAACTTCTACAAGCATTTTTGAAGACAATTTAAAGAACAAACCTTTCGATGTTATTGTCATCATCACTCATCTTCATCAAAGACTTTTATTTATGTGTGGAGAGGAAGAAATTCTCATTTTCAGACGCTACAATAAAAATTGTATTCTTTAAAAAAGAAAATGCTGATTTATCATTCCACGACTTTTTTTAAAACATTTTTCTTAATAAAAATGATTAATGATTTACTTTTTAAAAGACTGGAAATAAGAGTTAATTGCATACATCAGCATTTACACATTATATAATAGACAATTATTGAGATTTTTGTTTTCAAATTATTTGGTTTGCTTGTTTTGATTTTGGATTTTGTGGCAGTATTCTGGGAGTTTGAGTGAAGGATCATGCTTGAATCTATATCCCTACTCTCCAATTACACCACACGTTGTCCCTTTTATACTGCAATTTGACAAAAAATATAACCTATAAAAGATCATTTTTCATTAAACCATTCTCCAATTTCCCGACATCAATAAAAACTGAAATCATCATGATCCAGTGATGTCAATTTTGTTTTGAATTTAATTGAAATTAAATAAAACATTATGAAAAGCAACTATTTTAATATACTTTAAAAATGTTTTAATTTTTATTCTTTTTTTTCCTCTTCAATATTAAAATTAAAATAAAATTAGGAATAAGCAGAAATTGAGACTCGTATATGAATTCTTCAATTAAAACTGACATGCTTTAAAAACATTCATTTTTTAAATATTTTTGTTTCAAACACTAACAATCTGTGAATGGATTTTAAGTGAAACACTTAAGTAAGAGCTGTTGAATGATGATCTTGAGAGAAAAGAAATTCCATCTTGTCTTCAAAAAAAAAAAATCTTCAATTTCAATTAAAAAAGAATATAATTAGTCATTTAAATGAGCTGTGTGTGCTCACAAGCTGTCAAAAATATAAACCATCTGTGTCATGTCTACACTTCAATCGTATTCATCATATAATAAGCCGACATAAGTAATGAAGTGTCATCAGTATGAAAAATGTTCTATAAAAAGATTGCATGACCTTTTATGGCCTTGACCTACGCACAGACTTGCTTCAATTTTAACGTCAACATCAATATTTGGATAAAGTATTTGAATCAGTTTAAACTAACATTCAATTTAATAGTAGGCACATATCGTTATTCAATTACATGCTTCGTACTTTTCTTCTTCATTGTGTGATGAAGCGATTCATAAGATTTCATAAAAATTACAGGAAAAAAATTGCAGAATCATCAATAATGATTATCGCGAACGAGAGAATCTTTAGAAGGAAAAATAATATTTTAGAGGAAGACATAAAATTTTAAAATAGTGGAGCGTGGTTTTCATGTCTACATTTTACATTAAGAGTGTGTAGTTCTAAAGAATAGTTTGTAAAGATTCTGAATTAAATTACTGATTTTTTAAAATCCAAAATTGGACATCTGTTTTAAATAAAAGTATCTTATGTCAATCAACAGTAGTCAAACGCGCTAAAAATCATTGCTCGGATATAATTAAGGTTTTTAAGAAATTAATGAATAAAACAGTTTGGAATAATTATCTTAAGACATTGTTTATAATGAGAATATAAATATACAGCTTTAAAAATAGGTTATTGGTCTTCAATTGCGTTTTATCTTCGACTGCTCGAATTTCTATTTTTTTTACAATTAACTTTTTTCAATCACTTTTATTGAGAATCATTCTCAATTGTTTGAAATATTTTATAGAAGCATCATCAGCGCTTTAAATAATGTTATCTCGTTCCACTCGATTGATGATTTTTCATTTTGATATATAAATTTATCAATCGATTGAGTTTTTACTTGCCACTCATCGCTTAAAATAACGACGAGAAATATCAAGTGAAAATGTCACCAATATGCCGATGAAGGGATATTCACAGAATAAGAAAATAAATAATGAAACAAAAAATTCATGTCATTCATTTATTTTTGATAAAGGGAAAAGTAATGATTATGATCTTACTACTGAGCGCAAATTGGCATTATAAGATTTTTTCCTGAATAAAAATTTGTATTCCAAAAATTGCTTCAATGAGGTGCTACTATTACTATCAAAAGTAAATTAGTGAAAACGAAATATTTAACTCTAAAAATCTAGATGTTACGTTTGTCAATGCATGGAAGTTCATGGCTTTAAATTCTATCAACAAGAATTTTTGACTTTCAATTTCGCTAACTCAGCATAGGCTTATGAGAAGAGAAAAGTTGAGAGTGCCAAGTAACAATAAGAGAATATTGACAATCATTGATAGATCTATATTCGCTAAACAAATAAAGTTGAAAGAAGGCAGCTGTAGCTACATAAATTATCGTGGCAGAAATAAATAAATTTTGTTATTCAGAAAAGATTCAAGACTTAATATGTTATTTACGCATGTCATTCAATAGATGGGAAATAAGTGCTTGGCGCCATACATATTAATTTCATCGGTGCTTTAAAAAAATTCAGTCAAAATTGTCAAATTGCTTTGCATTTTTAATCTTAAAATATTTCAAAACGAACATTATGCCCTTTCGTGATTGAGATTAATGCAAGTTGGTCCTTTTCTTCGTTTTAACATAAATAACTCAAACTCAAACTGATTTTTAAGGAAAGCCGCATGTTATGCAAAGGGGCTGTTCACTTATTACGTAACGCGAAAAAATGACTTTTTAGACCCCCCCCTCGTAACAAAATTTGTATGAAAAAAAAAATTTCCTTGTTTGTACCGTAACAACATCTTAGACCACCCTCCCCCCTAAAAGCGTTACGTAATAAGTGAATGGCCCCAAACAATAAAGACTTAAATGGGTTGTTTTAAATGCATGGGTTCATTGATTGATTAATTCCACTTATTCCGTCTGCCAAATTTGCTGTGCAATTATTAAATACATGCCAAGTATCATCCTCACGCAATAAGTCTTTCTTTAATGCAATTCTCATGAAAATTGAATGCATACTTCCAATTAAAGCATCTTGAAAATAAAAATGAGACTTGTCTTGTCAGTTCATGCAATTTAAATGTTTTTCACACATTTGCATTATTTGCAGTAATTGTCGTTTTTGTGTTGAAATCATCTGTTTGCTTG